CTGCCTTTCACTCCTGACCTACAGCACCCCGCATCCTGCTAAGGTATACAGGGACCCCCCCCATGGGCTCCAACCCCCCCCCACACACCTTCACAAATAACACGTCCCCCCCACACAGACGCTTCAAAAATAGCATCTCATTATTTACATTCCACATCTCTTGATTTTTTAGAGTCTCTCTTGGTTTTTGACACTGCGGGGGTGGCAATACTGCAGCGCCCAGGAACACGGGGTTTCAGAAGTAGGAAAGCCCCTGCAGAAGTGGGGCAAAGTGAGGGGAAACACCGCAGCAAGTGTCAGGACAGCACGGGGGTTGCACGAGAGAGCTCTCGCTGCTCAGAGCCACAGCACTGCACGCCCTCAAAGTGAATCGCTGCGGTCTCTGGTTCGAAGGAGGAGGAAAACCCAACCATGCAGCAGTTAACGTTGCTAGCAGGTGTGGGGGTGTTGCATTACTGATGTTTCCAGGAAAGGCATGCCCACCGTGCAGCAACACAGCTAACGCGTTTTGCAGTCACACGGGTGGCAAGAACCATCCGAGGTTCATGAGCCACATCCGACGAGGCTGGATTTAGACCAAACTGCCCTTTATTTCACCCTGCTGAAAGCAAGTCTAATCCATACTACAAGCGAGCCCGCTCCCTGGGATGGAAGATATTTCATTAGCAGGTTGTGGGGGGTGGCGTGTGGTTCTTAGGTTTCATCTTGGCTGGAGGAACTTACCTCAGATAACCTGATAGCGCCGCAGGGCCTCACCCACTTGCGTATTTTTCCTCCCTTTTCTATGGGGGCAATGAGCTAGAGCTGGTAAAATTTTGGAAGAAAGGAAAGGGATTTTTTTTCTTTTAAAGAAATAACAAAAGATTTCCACTCTTAATTAGGAAATGGATTAAAGCTGATGTCAAGTGTGCCTGATAATTACTAGGAATTTGATTGGGTTTGGAGGCGGGGCTGAATTTTTCCCAGCTAAAATCTGCGGGGGAAAATAAAGTCTCATTTGAGTGTTGGGGGGTGAATTGGGGAGGGTCAAGGCAGCCATGTGAGCCAAAGAGGTTTGAAAGGCTGGTGATTCAGAAACTTTGCAGCTGGCTCAATGTGGATCCTTGGCAGCTGTGGGGGATTCAGTTTAGCACAGGCTGCCCTGCATAGTGTGATCAGTGTGGGATACAAAGGTTGGTGGGGAGTGAGAAAAGGAAATGGCTGTGATGATAAGGCTGGAACTGGTTGCGTTAGGCTAGCTGGGAGGCACTGGCTGGGCTTTGGTTGCTTTGGCTCATGAGATTTAAGAGGTTATAGGGGTGTTGCTTGGGGTGGCAGTCTCATAGATGCCCCATGTGAAGGGTCTGTGTCCCAGTCTTTGTAGGGACTCCCTTGCAGTCTTTGCTTCGTGGGGAGAAGAAATTTCTGCCTTTGGCCCCTGTGTTTGCTTATCCCCCTGGAGAAGCAGAGCAGGGCAAGAGCGTGTGGGAGCTGGGTCTGAGGTGTGCAGGGGAGAGGGACATTTTCCATGGGGGTGCAGAGATCCCAGGAAGGCTGGAGCTGAGGCTGGGGAGAGCGGGGTCACTGCAGGACTGGAGTGAGGAGTACGGGCAGAGCGGTGTGGGGGGGCTGGAGCAGGGATCAAAGGAGTGCAGTAGGTCAGGGTGGAAATATGTCGGCAGGGCTGTATGGAGGGGGAAGTCACAGGCAGCAGCTGCCTGTTTCATGCTTGGCTCAAACTTTCCTTTCTCCCATATCTCAGCTGGAAAAATCACCAGGTATCTTGCGCTTTGCTGCCTACGGCAAGCAAAGCTGTTCCATAGACCTGGGAAAAAACCCATTTCTAATAGGTGCCCCCACCCAGACTTGCTTTCTTCCTGGGGGCATCAGCAGTGCATCCCACCTGGGATATGCAGGCTGGAAGACGACACCAAGTCTCCTTAGCGCAGGGGTCAGGCTGGATGCCATTTCGCCGCAGCCCCTGGTCACTGCTCTAATAGGAGGTACTGATCCGGCCCTTTTGTAAGGAGAGGTGATTTGGGAGCAGGGATCTCTGCGCTCTGACGGGTGACTGAGTTCCCCCTGCATGGCGGAGAGAGGGGGGCTCTGTTACGTGGCTGTCCTGCGCAGTCACTTGCCTCCTATTAAACTCAGCAGGGGCCTGTGCCTCTGATTTATGAGCTGGCAGCTTGCAATGCAGCTCAGTATATAAATAGCAGGGGGTGGGTGCAGAAAGGGAGGGTATTCATGCCATGGATGGCATAAGGCCAGACCCGTCCTTGTGAATCCCTGCCCGAGAGCATGGGGGAGGTAGTTCCCATGACTTGTTCTCCCGTTGCCTTTGATTCCCACTGCCCCAAACCTGGGTAGCATGTGGCAACGCCCAGGGTAATTACCACCACTCCAAGCTAATTAGTCCAGCAGTGCTCCTAGGCTAAAAGGTGCTTGGGGAGTAGCATCTCAGCTTGCCGCCGGTGGCCCAGTGATGACTGTTGGTTTGCACAATGGCTTCTCCTTGCGTGTTGGCTCAGGGATGAGGCCTTGCTATGGGGTCCAGTGTGACCCCCCCCCTCTGTTGGAGGGTGCCTGGGTGGGGATGGGGTAATGTGCATGGAGGGGGAAGGAAGACTTGGCCTTTTTGGAGGAGCTTTTAGGAGCAGGTGGATGCCACCAGCTGAAGGTACCCGGGCGAGCTCTGCAAGCCCAAAAGCCAGAGAGGTGAGACCCTGTGTCGCACTACTCCTGGGGCCGGGGTGCAGCACTCCACCCTGGACTGGGGACATTTTTAGGTGGGGGGAACTTGGCTTTGCATCTGTTTGGCTGTTGCTTTGTAGCGGAGAAGTGATGCCAGCCACATGCTGGGCCATGGGGATGCTCCTAAGCCCCTGTGGTGGTTGCGTAGGGGCCATGGGTGCCCGCTGAGGCTCTGCAGGCTGGAAGGTGCGTGTTGGGCTGGGCATGGGGGCCTGCAGCAGCCCCACAGGGAGATGGGGCTGGGTCTTGTACATGTTGGGGGGAATTCACGAGTGGGGGGAAAAAATCCTCCGTGGGGAAAACCAGCATGGGAAAAGACTGAATGGGGGGAAAAATTAATGTTGTGGGGGGAAATCACGCGTGGGACAAATCACGCATGGGGAGGGTGTCCTAGGGTCACGCGTGGGGCTGGGTCAGCGCACGCAGTGCAGCCTCCCACCCAGTAGGGGGCGCTCTGCGCGGGCAGCGCCGCTGCCCCTTTAAGACGCCGCGGCCTGTTCATCACGGCCAGGCGCGCGCGCTCATTGGCTGAGCTGCGCCAGGGCTACCGCCCCTGTCTCCACACGGGGTCTCCCTCCGAGGGCCCACGGGCTGGTCGCTACGGCTCAACCGCACTCGGCAACCCGCCTTTGCTGAACCTTGCGCCTCAATGGCGATGGGAGCGTCGCCCTATTGGCCGGGCGGCCAGTCCATCCAGCCTTGTCCCACCGACAGGGACTCCCTCTGGCTTCCTACTGGCTGCTCCCAACGCTCGTCGCCTCGAAGCGCGCCGCTGCTCCGTAGGGCGGCTCGCATGCCGCTCAACCCCCTTCCCGCCTCCTTCCCAACCCACCAGCCAACCAGCTTCCGAGTGGGCCACGGCGCCGGCCTCCCATTGGCTGTCGGCGCCGCCGTGGGGCTAGGCTGCGCCGCGGCTATATAGGTAGCAGCCGGTGCCGGAGCACGCCGTTGCGTGAGGTGCTTCCCGTCGCCCGGTGCTGAAGTGACGCCTCCTGCTGCCGGCCC